CAAAGAATATACTGTGGGAATAACAACGACCACCCAAATGTTTAAAACAAAGGCTATTTCAGAGCTTGCTATAGTAAGGGAGTCAACCATTGTCATTTGTGTTTTTACAGAGACTCAGAGGCAAGCAGAACAGTGAGAAAGCTTTATAGGAGGAGAAAGAAAGGCTACAAGCATACACTGAATAGAGATCATTGGCATGGGGAAGATGTAGGCAGGCTAACTAGAAGTGGATCATCCTGTGTAATTAGTTAGAGGTGCATATTTGGCTGTCTCTGGTTGGACCTAAGATGGATGCAGAGACAAAAATTAATAAGGCAGTCAGTTCTTAAGTCCTGGACATTTTGGGCTGACTGTTATAGAAATTATTATTTATTTTCTTGGGTTGTTGCTAAAGATAAAAATTTGACATCCTAGAAGTCTGACTTATAGCAGCCTAATGCTCTGGGCTGCTTATTGTAGTTAAGTGGGTTTGTTTCCTAGGCAGGTTGTTGAAGGTTGCGGGTCACAGTTCCATTTTTATATATGGTCCAGCCATTGTCCATTTGTACATTCAATCTTTCAGTATACATCCCACCATACAGGAGATAGACACAATAATGAGAAGCCTGGTATCAAAGCTAACTTGGAAAGAAATTTATTGGTGACATCACACTACCACCTCCCAAGGGGTCACCCTTGAGGTTATTAAAGCTATACAAAGGGACTTCCTAGAAAATGTTCCCTGGAATAGAAATGATGGAATAGGTGGCCTCCCAGTGAAATTAGAACATCATCATAAAAGGGAAATAAATAGGCCAAATTTATAATATGATTGATAGTTATTTTTGAAATAATTTGGCCTACTTGTGAGGATCACATGTGCGAATATGTCACAGTTCAGAATCTGTTTTGGTGCATGTATAAATTAATAACTTTTTAAAATCTGCAGAGAGATACTATGAAGCTTACTCTAGACCCATGCAAACATTCGGATGCTATTTACTGCTGGCAATCACCTGGAAACTCAAGCAAGGCGCACCAATCCAAATAAGAAGAAACATTCATTTGCCTAAACCTGCAGATATCTTAAGTCACAGCAACACATATAATGACAAATTTAACTGCATGCTGGACTTGCTTCTGCCAATCTGATTCTAATACTACAGATAGCCAGGAACATGTAGCAAAGGGGTTATAATGTCACTCTATTGACCGAACAATTGAACAAATTAAAATCTGCTTTTTCCAAATCGATTCCCCTGGTTTTCCTCCATTAAGTGGGCATATTGACTATGAAAGGGCTTTGAAATCCTTGTTTGTGCCCTTATAGGATTCTGTCTCCTTTATTTCTGGCTCCAGACTCAGGAATGCAAAATAACATACAATTTTAATTGTAAGATAACATAGGCCAGGCACGGCGGCTCACACCTGTAATCCCAGCACTTTGGGAGGCCAAGGCAGGTGGATTACCTAAGGTCAGGAGTTCCAGACCAGCCTGGCTAACATGGTGAAACCCTGTTTCTACTAACAATACAAAAAATTAGCCAGGCATGGTGGCGCGTGCCTGTAATCTCAGCTAGTTGGGAGGCTAAGGCAGGAGAATCGCTTGAACCTGAAAGGTGGATGTTGCAGTGAGCTGAGTTTACCCCATTGCACTCCAGCTTGGGCAACAAAAGAAAAATTTCATCTCAAAAAAAAAAAAAAGATAATATTGAGCCAGAATATGTTATATGCATGAGCCAAAGATGGCTGCTGTATACTGATCCTGCTAGTACCAAACTCAATTTTTTACACATCCAATTGTTTTAAATATAGACCAATAAGTAGATCGTCAGCCATTTAGAGGCTGCCTTCTTTGCAATCCCTGTGAAACTACAATCATCTGCTAGCTATAGATAGGATAAACTCCAGGTGATGAAAATCCTAAGCTGCTGCTGCCCTTCAGAGATCTCTGACCCAAAAACTCTCTGTCTTGCTGCTGAGAGACATCACATACATACATAAGCCATCTCTTTGATTCCCCTCCCTCTCTCCAGTTAGCTTGTCCTCTCATTTTCTAGGTAGTGACCTCCCACCAACCTCTGGAAGATCTCAAACTTTGATGAACCCTATGACCTTGTAAACCTGTCAGAGAATTAACCAAATAAAACTCATTGTATGCATATACACTGTTGGTCAGAATGTAAATTAGTAATAGTAAACACTATATATAGTTCAACCACTATAGAAAGCAGTTTGGAGATTTCTCAAAGAACATAAATCACAACTACCATTCAATTCAATAATCACATTATTGGGTATACATCCAGAAGCAAAGAAATTCCACCAAAAAGACACATACACTCATATGTTCTTTGCAGCCTCATTAACAATAGCAAAGACATGGAGTTAACTTCAGTGTCTATCATTGATATTGGCTAAGGAAAATGTGGTACATATATACCATGGAATACAACACAGACATAAAAACTAATGAAATCATGTCATTTGCAGCAATATGGATGCAGCTGGAGGCCATTATCCTAAGCGAATTTACACAGAACCAGAAAAGCAAATACCACATGTTCTCATTTATAAGTTGGAGCTAAACATTGGGTACTCATGGACATAAAGATGGCAACAATAGACGCTGGGGGAATATTAAAAGGAGGAAGAATAGAGGTGAGTATGAGTTGAAAAACTAACTGTTGAGTATTATGCTCACTACCTGGGTGACAGGATCATTTGTTTTCCAAACCTCAGCATCATGTAATACACCCATGTAACAAACCTGCATATGTATTCCCAGAATCTAAAATAAAAGTTGAAATTCTAAAATAAACAAACAAGCAAAAATTCATTGTGTGTTACTGAAAACTTGTGGTAATATATTTTTTTATTGATCAGTCCCCAAATCTCTTGCACTCACTAGTTTCATATATTTTAATTCTACATATAAATTATAGAAAAACATATTATTATTTTACATTGTCAATATGTCTGTTTACCAACATATTTATCCTTTCTATTACTGTTCAATTCTTGCAACTCTTCAGTTTCATATAAGAACCTTTCAGTATTTCCTCAACATGGGGGTACTGTTGTTCAATTTATTCAGTATTGTTTTCAGAACATGTATTTATTTTGCCTTCATTTTTGATGTACTATTTCAGTGAGTTAGAATTCCACATTATCAGCTAGCAAATCATTAAATTCCATAAGTGACAAAGTTGTATACAATATAAGACTCACCTCTTTGCACTTTCCTTTTTCTGAAATCATTACTCTTTAAGTCCTCATCGCCTTTATAGGTTTCTGATGCTGTATTGGTAGCCTTTGTTGTCATCAAAGAGTTTCTTTACCTAAATTTCTAGGATGGTTTTCGCAGGGCTGCTACAATGAACTACACATTATTAGAAATGGAACTCTTTGATATCATTATAATGACTTATTGGTATTCCATTTTTAGTACCATAATTTCTTTACTCTTTAGTTATTTAACATTCATATAGGTTTCAGCTGTTATATTAGAACAAATTATATAACAGTTATTTTAGTTAAATATTTGCACATATAGCTTATTTTTTTTTAGAACGTATTTCTAAAGGTAAAATTTTTAGTTTAGAGAATTGAAAAACTTCAAAGTCTCTAGAAATCACTGGACTGTAGGTTAGGAATATCTGTTGCTGAAGCTTAGAGAAACATCTTAGGTTTTTTGCACTTCCCACACTGAATAGGCCCTGGGCATAATAACTGCATTGGACTTCACAGAGCCGAAATTGGAGACAGAGATAGTGAAACTTTGTGACTGTAGCCAGTTATTTTCCTTTTCCATAAACAAGTGTAAAAAAAAGTATACTCCCAGAATTTTTACAAGATATTAAGAAAGACCACATGTAATAAATGTTTGCAGCAAGGTACAAACATCAAAAGAGGGTCAATAGTGGTAAGCTGAGTTGTAGTAGTTGTGTGTCAGAAAGTTAGTGTTTTCCCTCTACCTATCCTCCTCTCTCTCTCCCCCCAACTTCTAAAAACAACCTGCTTGCACTCTTCAGTGTTTTCTTTCTTACTCACTGCTGTCATGCTACTCTCAGTTGGAATGCTTTTCTCATTCTTGTCCTTTTGGTAAATACCTACCCACTCATCTTTTAAAACATCTTCTCTTTTATGAAGCCTTTTCTGCCTCTACAGGTAGAACTGACCCTGCCATCCACTGAATTCTTTACAAACTTCTAGAAAATTTGGCTTCACTTTTTCTTTGACTCCAATTTTTACATTGGGTGCTCCTGGATGACAAAGAAATTAACTCTGTAACTTCTGCATAGATGACCAGTGTTTGTTGAATGCATGAATAAGGAGATCAGGGTTGGATCTGCCCAAAAATACTAGAGTAATAGAGCAAAACAGAGCAGGTAGCATCCCTTAACACTGGGTATCTCAACTGACCTTCACGGAAGCTCTATTACAGGAGCAGGTGATTGACATGTCATTGTGGAGAGAAAGAATTAAGCGAATTTTTAAGAGTTTTAGTGGCTTTCTCACTAAAGCCTGGGAAAATTTGGGCTGGGAATGTTGGGCTTTTCAAGCTTGTTCGAAGCTCCCTAATTGGTACTAAATGCCAGGCATTCAGGCCCTCTAGGAAAGAGTTCTTACTAGCTCACAACTTTAAGAGAGCAGTTAGACACATAAAAGGAGAAAGCGATAGAAGAGACAGGGTCAAGGATGGGGATTCTACCCTTCCAGAGACCACGAACATTTTCCTTGAAACAGTTTTGGGAAAATGCAAATCTCAATGATATTTCAGAATTTTCAGAATCTATTAAGTGCTTGGCGCTCTGTGTAGAAGCCTTCTAATCGTACCTTAAATCTGAGTAGTTATTATTATTTCCATTTTTATTCCCTAACCATCTACTCTAAGCTCCTTGTTCCACCCTACGAGTTTCCCTTCTGCTAGTGCTCTCCTTTGGTGCAGAACCACCGCATCCACTTTCTCCGGCCCAGGGAAGGTGCGGGGCGGGGCGAGATCGCCTTGCCGCAGAGCCGGTCTGCGCCTGCGCGGACTGCGGCAGGGGGCGGGGTGTGAGAAGCAGAGTACACTGAGACTAGCGTTCATTGCTGGCCAGTGCCTGCGTTTTTCACCACCTCTAATTTCAGCTTCAGCAAGTTGCTTGGAACTTTGGTTCTGGCAGCAGCAGCAACAGAATTACCGCTAGCGGCAGTTTTGTGCCGAGGCACCTACACACCTCCAGTCCTCTCTGCCAGATCTACGCGCCGGTCGGCAGGACCATGTCTCTGGTAAGCCAGAATTCGCGCCGCCGCCGCCGCCGCGGTGCAAAGGCCACTGCGCACAACAGCGAAATCCAGGCCCCTAATGCCCCCGGGCTCCCCGGTGATGTGCCAGGCTCGGACGTCCCCCAGGGTCCCATCGACTCCCAGATCCTCCAGGGCCTCTGTGCCTCTGAGGGCCCAAGCACCTCCGTTCTGCCCACCTCCGCTGAGGGTCCAAGCACCTTTGTGCCGCCTACCATCTCTGAGGCCTCAAGCGCCTCCGGGCAGCCCACCGTCTCTGAGGGAACTGGCACCTCCGTGCTGCCCACCCCCTGTGAGGGCCTAAGCACCTCTGGGCCTCCCACCATGTCTAAAGGGCTGTGCACATCTGTGACGCTTGCCGCCTCGGAGGGCCAGAACACCTCCAGGCCGCCCACTTCCTCTAAGAAACCGAGCACCTCCTTGCCGCCCACCGTCTCTGAGAGACGGAGCACCTCCGTGCCGCCCACCCCTGGTGAGGGAACGAGCACCTCCGTGCCGCCCACCGCCTTTGAGGGACCAAGCACCTCCGTGGCGTCCACCCTTGCTGAGGGACCGAGCACCTCCGTGCCGCCCAACCCTGGTGAGGAAGCGAGCACCTCCGTGCCGCTCACCGCCACTGAGGGCCTGAACATCTCCGTGCCGGCCACTCCTGATGAGGGACTGAGCACCTCCGTGCTGCCCACCGTCCCTGAGGGCCTGAGCACTTCCGTGCCGTCCACCCCTGATGAGAGACTGAGCACCTCCGTGCTGCCCACCGTCCCTGAGGGCCTGAGCACTTCCGTGCCATCCACCCCTAATGAGGGACCGAGCACCTCCGTGCTGCCTGCCGCCTCTGACAAACAAAGCACCTCCTTAGTGCCCACCCTCAGTAAGGGATCAAGCACCTCTGTGCTACCCACCACCACTGAGGGCCTGCGCACCTCCGTGCAGCCCACTCCTGGTGAGGGACTGAGCACCTCTGTGCCTCCCATTGCCACCGAGGGACCGAGCACCTCCGTGCCACCCACCGCCTCTGAGGGACCGAGCAGCTCCGTGCTGCCCACCCCTGGTGAGAGAAAGAACACCTCTGTGCCACCCACCGCCTCTGAGGGACTAAGCACCTCCATGGTCCCCAACCCTTATGAGGGACCGAGCCCCTCCGTGCAGGCCACCCCTGGTGAGGGACCGAGCACCTCCGTGCTGCTCACCGCCTCTGATGGACAAAGCACCTCCTTCGTGCCCACCCCTAGTAAGGGATCAAGCACCTCCGTGCCACCCACCACCACTGAGGGCTTGAGCACCTCCGTGCAGCCTACTCCTGGTGAGGGAACGAGCACCTCCGTGCCGCCCACCCCTGGTGAAGGACTGTGCACCTCTGTGCCTCCCACCGCCACTGAGGGACTGAGCGCCACCGTGCCGCCTATTCCTGGTGAGGGACCAAGTACCCTAGTGCAGCCCACCTCCTCCAACGGACCAGGAAGCTCCGTGCTGCCCACCCCTGGTGAGGGCCCGAGCACACTGTTTAGCTCAAATGCTTCTATGGATCGGAATCCCTCCAAGTGCTCCGTTGTTTTGCCAAGCCCTGGGGAATCCAAGGCCTCTGTGGACTCAGACTCTGAGGGTCCTAAGGGTGCAGAAGGCCCTATAGAGTTCCAGGTCCTGAGAGACTGTGAGAGCCCCAACTCCATTACTATTATGGGCCTCAGTACTTCCCGGGTTGCAATTACCCTGAAGCCCCAGGACCCTATAGAACAGAATGTAGCTGAGCTGTTGCAGTTCCTGCTGGTGAAGGATCAGAGCAAGTACCCTATCCGGGAGTCTGAAATGCGGGAATATATTGTTAAAGAATATCGCAACCAGTTTCCTGAGATACTCAGGCGAGCAGCAGCCCACCTGGAGTGCATTTTTAGGTTTGAATTGAGAGAACTTGACCCTGAGGCACACACCTACATTCTGCTCAACAAACTGGGACCTGTGCCCTTTGAAGGGTTAGAAGAGAGCCCAAATGGGCCAAAGATGGGCCTCCTGATGATGATTCTAGGCCAAATATTCCTGAATGGCAACCAAGCCAAGGAGGCTGAGATATGGGAAATGCTCTGGAGGATGGGGGTACAGCGGGAAAGGAGGCTTTCCATTTTTGGGAACCCAAAAAGACTTCTGTCTGTGGAGTTTGTATGGCAGCGTTACTTAGACTACAGGCCAGTAACTGACTGTAAGCCAGTGGAGTATGAGTTTTTCTGGGGCCCAAGATCCCACATAGAAACCACCAAGATGAAAATTCTGAAGTTCATGGCTAAAATATACAACAAAGATCCTATGGATTGGCCAGAGCAATACAACGAAGCTCTGGAAGAAGATGCTGCCAGAGCCTTTGCTGAGGGTTGGCAGGCCCTCCCTCACTTCAGGAGGCCATTTTTTGAGGAAGTTGCTGGAGAGGTAGCATCCCCTGATTCAGAGGTTTCCAACTATTCCTCAAAATATCCCCCACATTCATGGCCTGAGTCAAGATTGGAGAGCAAGGCAAGGAAGTTGGTACAGTTATTTCTGCTTATGGATTCAACTAAGCTGCCTATACCAAAGAAAGGAATTCTGTACTACATTGGCCGAGAGTGCAGCAAAGTGTTCCCTGACCTCCTGAATCGTGCTGCCCGTACCCTGAACCATGTGTATGGGACAGAGCTAGTGGTACTTGATCCCAGGAATCACTCCTATACCCTGTACAACCGAAGGGAGATGGAAGAAACTGAGGAGATTGTAGACAGTCCAAACAGGCCTGGCAACAACTTTTTGATGCAGGTCCTAAGTTTCATCTTTATAATGGGCAACCACGCCAGGGAGTCTGCAGTCTGGGCCTTTCTGAGAGGCTTAGGGGTTCAATCTGGGAGAAAGCATGTGATTACTTGCAGATATTTGAGTCAGCGCTACATAGACAGTTTACGGGTTCCAGACAGTGATCCAGTGCAATATGAGTTTGTGTGGGGTCCTAGAGCCCGTCTGGAAACCTCCAAGATGAAAGCCCTGCGATATGTGGCCAGAATCCACAGAAAGGAGCCACAGGACTGGCCACAGCAGTACAGGGAGGCAATGGAAGATGAGGCCAATAGAGCTGATGTTGGGCACAGGCAATTCTTTGTTCACAACTTCAGGTAGAGGAATGCATGGCAGTCAGAGGGGCCTTGCAAGGAGGGGCCTTAGAGACTCAAGTCTCATGTATTGGGTGGGGGTGGGGGGGTGGGGGGTTACATATTGTATTTGGTATTTGTGTTCCAGTTCTATTTATGTCTTCTCATGTTTAGTTCTTGTGTTGTGTCTTGAAATGTTTCAACTGTTTTAATATACTGTCCGATTGGGTAAATGTGATTGACCACTTGCTGTCTCTGTTGTATTTTGGTATGAGTTTTGATAGCTTTATAAAATGTTTTGGAAATATTTCCATCTTGTTGCATTATCTAGAAGAGAATATATAGCATATAGCTATAGATATAGGCTTTTCCTTGAAAGTTTGAACAAATTTGCCAGTAAAATAATCTGGCTTAAAGTGATAAACTAACAAACAAATATAGCAACAACTGAAAAAGCACTCTAAATTGTGGCTGGCTTCCCTTTCTGTCTGCTATTGTATAAAGAATACTGATGTTTACCTGTATTTGCTTTGCTGTATTAAAATGTAATGAAAAATAAAAGATTAATAAATGAAAGATAATGCTAATACACTGATTTATTCAACTGCTTTTATATAATGAGCACAGTTGTGTGCCCTATTTATACAAGTAAAAAAGTTTACAAGATATAGTACCTGCCCAAGAATTCAGGGACTGGATAGGGTACAGAGGGAGGTCATTTAAACAAGCAATTTACTATGGTGTACTATGTGCTACAGTAGACTAATAGTGCTATGGTAGTTAAAAAGAGGCACACTTGCCCAATTCCTGGGGTGTTCAAGGTGGTCCTTAAGGAATATGGTGGGTTTGTTTATAAGGAATATAAATGGGGTCTTTTTTTTCTGAGTTGGAGTCTCATTCTGCCGCCTAGGTTGGAGTGCAGTGACATAGTCTCGGCTCTCTGCAACCTCCACCTCCTGGGTTCAAGCAATTCTCCTGCCTCAGTCTCTTAAGTAGCTGGGACTACAGGTGTGTGCCAACACACTCAGCTAATTTTTATATTTTTAGTAGAGATGGGGTTTTACTACATTTGCCAGGCTGATCTTGAACTCCTGACCTCATGATCTGCCCACCTCAGCCTCCCAAAGTGCTGGGATTACAGGCATGAGGCACCACACCTGGCCAAGATGGGGTCCTTAATACAATCATGAATTAAACTGATTCAAGGCTGGATTTCAGTCTTCATAATTGCTGGTTGGAAAAAAAGTCAAAGATGTAAGGCCAGAGGGCAGGGGGTATTGTGGCATCAATGGTTTCAATAAGATGCATGAGCCAGCTTTCTCTAAGTTATGCTGTGGTTTTTTAAAAAATACCCAAATCTCAGAGGTTTATGACAAAATTTTGGGCTTATTTTATATCCTCCTCATGGGCTTTCTGTGATTCTGTTTATATTGTCTTCATTCAGACAACCAGGCCAAAAGAGTAAATCATATATGGGACATCTGTTCTTGTGGCAGAGGTAAAAGAGCCATAGTGGAACCATGTGATAGTTTTCAAAGCTTATGCTCAGATATGGCATATTATAGTCATAATCCACTGGCAAAAGCAAGTCACATGGCAAGCTTTATGTCAATGGAATGGGAAGTGTACACTTTCTATAGGGAAAGACATGTAGGAATGGGCCCAGTGGAGAGGAAGAACATATATTTTTGAATAAAAAAAATAGTCTACCATATAAGAATTTGGCTTTAGTTATGAGTGAGATGGAAAACTATTTAAGGATTTTGCTCTGAGAAATGGCAGGAAACCACTTAGTTTTGACAGGATTCTTTTGGCTCTCGAATTGAAAAACTAAAAGGGGTGGGGAGGGCAGAAACTCTAATTTTAGCATAGCAGTTTCTTCTTAGCGTACCTATGAAAAAAGATGTTATTTTCTGAACAAAGTTGCATTTAAAGAAATTGAAGCCAGAAAGCCTGTTATCTTTTTAAAAACACCTTGGAAATCAAACTCCATGGTATCAAGGTTAAAAGGCATTAGAACATGGTAGTAAGAGCATGCAGTCTGTAGTCAAAGTGCCTAGGTGCAAATCCTGGCTCTCTCTGATACTAGAGATGAGACCTAAGGCAAGTTACTTAACCCCTTTGTGCCTCCATTTTTTCATCTGTAAAATTGGCATAATAATTTCACCTATGCCATACTGTTGGAGATTAAATATGTTAACATGTAAAACACAACAGCACTTCACATGTAGTTAGCAATAGATAAGTGACATTGTTGCAGGTTGATTTTTTACAGGAATGGGACTGTGAAGTGATTTCCTTGCAGAAATTTTACTGGGGAGTGTTTTGGGCTCAAAGCCTGTGGGGAAGCAAGAGAAGCAGAATTGTGTAGAGGGAGAAGTCAAGCAGTGATTCTGTCACAGCAAATAAATTAGCTGATTCTATAGGGAGCTCTGGAGTCGGTGTGGTCCTGCAGAGTTGTTCCAAATTAAGAAAAGGATGCCAAAGCTTTAGCCCACCACATTGACCAGTCATTGGATGCAAACTGCCTCCTGGTATGGGGCTATGACTTTTTGAGAGTCAGTTCTTTTCAGCTAAATGTAATCCCTCAGAAAGATACTCAGCTGAAAACACAGCAGCTGTTATCACCCTCAAGAGCTGGAGGAATGAGCGCTGTAATCCTGAAGAGTAGAGGCATCTGGCTAATACATCACAATATCCATTACAGTTGTTGCTGTTTTTGTTGGTTTCTTTCCCCTCTCCCTCATTCTCTTTAATATTTCTTCCTCTCCTTTTTTCTCTTCTTCATCATCCTCATCTTCTTCCCCTTCCCCTTTTCCACCTTCTCCTCCTTGTTATCACTATTACTATTGTTATAATTTAAAAGAATTACATACCTTCTTATCATATTATTGCTATTATTGTTTTTATTATCTATAAAGATTACATATGTTCTCATTGTTCTGCCTGGGCTGTAACACCCCTATCACTGAATCGTTTTACTCTTGGCACAAACTTCCTGAAAGAAAGGCTCTGATAATAGAGCTTCACTTACCTCTTAATTTCTGTGTCAGTTTTCTATTATTTCCATATTTCTTAGTAGACTTGTGTGTTGTCAAATTGTTTCCAGATGATATTACCTAGGCAAGTTTCTTAATTGGTTGTTTGTCATTTAAATATTGCAAAGTATTTTTATCTCAGATAAATTTGATCAACATGCACAAACATTTAGAATATCCCACTAAAGACAATCAGGGAAGAAAATAGTTTTTTTCATGCATTTCTCTCAAAATCAGCCATTTTGCTCTCAGGAAATGTCCGATTAAATGTCTTTGTTCAAATGCACCTGTTAGATTAGGATGCAGACTTTTAAGATTCCATGTGCTTAGTGGAAGATTATGCTCTCATGATCAAATGAATGTGTACTATTTTGTTAAAAACTGTCTTATCATTCATTAAGGTAATGATTATTGAACTGTGTAGTCAAACCCTTGCAAAGAACAAGTCAGTGTGACTTACTCATTGCAGTGTGCATCTGTGATGGAATGCAAAATCTTCTAAATTTCACAGAAGTCTCTTCTCTTTACATAGAGAGAAATCATGGGTGGGACTCTGGTGATTGTCTTCATATTGTTGTTCAATCTTGTCAATGAATGGTTCTATAAGATTTCCCATTTTGCCTAAGAAATTATGTAGCCACTTAATCCAATCTAAGTAAATGCTAAAGTTCTCTAGGTGATCCACATATCTCAAATGATGACTCATCAAAATGGATTACAAACGATTATTTCCCCAAACTTGAATTTGAGATACAGTCTTAAAAATTGGTAGATGGAAAAGAAAAGATAATTCTGGAAATTCAGAACTGTGATCCTTTGTTGATAGAGTGAATAGTGGAAAAGCAGTAATTTTGAGATGAATGTGGGTTTTTTTTGTTTTGTTTTGTTTTGTTTTTTGATGAGTGAGATAACTTTGCTCTGTCTTCCTGGATTAGAATATTTCAAGTAGTAACAGTGATAGAAATTAGGTAGGTGAATGGAAGTCAATCATATTTTGATGAAAATATGTGAGGCAATAAAATACCCAGTTCTCAGATAATCATTTAAAATGTAAAAAACTACTTTAAAAGGCTAACAAGAAGAAAAAAAAAACAATAGCTAAGGTATGAAAGGAAATAAATTAGAAGATACCAAGTATTTTTTCAGTGCATTTGCTAAAGTTGAAAAGCAATTATTGTTTCTACTGCTTTCTTCTTTGGAAATGTTATTATTAACATTCAATATTTAACTGAAATTATCTTCTAAGTGTGCTCAGATTTAAAGGATTATTTTTGCTAGCAGAAATCAGAAGAGTACCCTGTCCAGCAGAAGCCAAACTCCTTGAAAGAATGTTCATTCATGATATCTTCTATTTCTCTTCTACTATTTATTTCTTAACTCAATACAATTAGGTTTTTCTTACACCAATCAACTGCAACTGCTTCTCTCAATGTGTACAGGGACCTACATATAAATTGATAAATCTACCAATCTTTTATCAGACATTACTTCATCAGTGGATTCTGACATAGTTAATATTTTTTTCCTCTTTATATATTTTGCACATGTGAAATACTCTCCTGGCTTTCCTCCTGCCTTTCTTCTTACTGCTTCATCTCCTTTACAGGTTCCTCTCCTCTCAGAATTCTAAAAATACTCCAGGATCAGTCCTTGAACTTATTCACTTTTTTCTGTTTATATGCTCTCCTTAATCTCATCCATTTATTTCCTAGATTTAAAAAATATTTTGTATGCTGAATAGCCCAGAATTTGTAACTCAAGCCTCAGAGTATGTACCCCTATTCTGAATTTCTCTCACGTTCAATTCCTTTCTCAGATTTTCTACTTGGATGTCTAGCATGCACTAATCTCTAACATGCCCAAATCTGAACTTCTGGTATTTATTTACAAACCTGTTCCTTCTAAAGATTTTCTCACCTTAATCAATAACCAGTTCATTCTTACAATTGCCCAGCATAAAAGCTTGGGCACATACTTAACTGCTTTTTCTTTCATTTTCAGGATATTAGAAAAAAATTATTGTGTCAGCAAAGTATGATGGCTCTGCTCCCAAAATAAGTTGAGAAACTGACAATATCTTGTCAACTCCAGCATTACTACTATGATCATATCTCACCTGTATTATTGCAGTGGGCTTAGAATTTGTCTTCCTACTTCTGACCTAGTATATTTATTTTTAGCACAGTAGCCAGAGGACTTCTATAAGAATGCATTTAACTTGTAGGTGTGACTTATTTTGCTTACGTTAGACACCTTAGCAATATGATCTAGACTGCAATTTCTTTTCTGACTTTATGTCTTATTTTCCTCCCCACTACCGTTATTCAATTTGTTTTTTGACCAAGTCTGACAACCTACTACCTCAGAGTCTTTAAACTTTCTCTTCTCATTGCTTGGAATACCTCAATTAAATGCATGACACATTCATCTCTTTGTGCTTTTGCTAAAACTACACTACTTAGTAAGTACATTCTATCCAATATTAATTATATAACCCTCCTCCTTGCTTTACTTTTTTTAGCACTATCATCATCAATAATGTATTTTAA